AATGGATTAAGACAATAATTATACAACAAGTAAAAAAGTTACCTAGTACACTTATAGTAATAGTACATAAATCTCAAGTGGTCCACTATATAACAACAGTACAATATACATAAAAAAGAGAAGTGCTAGAGTAAACAGCAGAAAAGATGGAGAAACAAGGCAGGAAGTTAAAACAAAGGAAAACACTGTATAAACAGCAACAACAACAACCAAAAAACCCTATTTTCAGTCGCCGTCATCTTTTGTCTAGTGATTAATAATGCTTTACATATGGATAGTGCATTAAGATGTTTGAAAAGGCATAAACCCAAAACCTTCTATAAAAGTACTTCACCGACCGACAGCAGCCACCTTGGCATGCTACTCGGACTTGAATGTCGTGATGACCCAATGAGCTACCACTGGATTCAACCAATGTTCCTGTAGGTCTTACCATGCCGGATAAGTCATTTGGGCAGCGGTTACACTATTAGCAGTTTAAGTACTTTACACTGTGTTGGGATTTCGTGGACGATGTCGTACTGTTGGGGATGTGACAGAAGTAAGGCTTTTTCCTCAGAGAATCAGCAAACCACCTATGCTTCTTCGCTCTTGATGGGGGAAGGGGGTTAAAAATGTCGGCCCCAAAAATTGTACATTCTGACTCAAATCGCAGTGGTTCGTAGCCGGAGATAAGATCTCATTACGGATGTAGTTGCAAAAACTATTTCACACAGGCTATGTGCGACCGGCCTCAAGCAGTTGTCGCTCGGGCTCTGTGGTCTCACACAATGCTAATGGTCATTTTGCTTCAGATACTCAAAAAGGGAACAACTTCCGTGATATGGGTAGCCGGGGGTAATATAACCACCAGAATGTACACAATTAAGCACAACTGAAATAATAAAAACCATCTACGTAAACAAATAGTATAAAAAAATGAGGCATTCCAATATATAGCAATGATAAACAAGTACAGATGTGAGAAATGAAAGAAGCATTATGTTACAGATGCTTCACCAATAGAGCATGCAAATGAGATAACGGAAACTAACAAAAATATATGAATAAATAAAAACACATATCTGTTAAATAAAACAGATAAAAACTTCAGACAAAGTTATCTAATAAAATCGACTTCGAAATATATCGTCTACAGCCTGAATATATAACCAGGATGTTGACATTACTTTGAATGATTAGGACCAACAGTAAAAAAAGCTTCATGGATTTCAAAGTATTTTGCCCTTAGCTTTGAACTTTTTACAACATAATTATATTCAAACTAAAGATTAACGAATTAAGGTAAACAGTGAGTCACTACTAAGCGTAGCACATGATTCAATCACCCCAGTTCTTGAGTGGCGATGACGTCATTAATCAATTCTAATTGAATTACTTCTCTATGATTTCACTAAACTTATATGATTTGGGTTGGATACACATATAGCTCTCTCAAGATATCGACTTTTGGAAACATTTATTTCCCGACACGCATCTAAAGCAAGCCAACAAATGTAAATAAAGTGAAATCTAATGAATTCGTCAAAAAGAAGGCTGTATATATCGGTCTACCCAAATAGTCAAACAAAGACTTGATAAGGCTAGAAGAAGAAGCTATTATGCTGCAAAACTCGTAATCCTTATTACCACCAAATGGGTGTTTCAGCCACCTAGGAAAGATCTGTTGTCAATCTTTGACACTGCGTATATCAATTTGAGTGTATACTGGGAAGCAAATACATAAGTCTTACAGAAAGGCAACTGTCTAATCGCATCGTTCAGCAATTGTCCAAGTGGTTGAAAAAGATCAAAGGCAAGCTTATAGAAGGTTCCATAGCAAAGCACCTAATAGACTACGGACACAATGCTGTTGCCATGTCATTCGTTGTTCTCAGCAGACAAGGAAACAGAAAGATGCTTGCAATCGTGCAGGCCGGCCTCTACGTACAGAAGGAGATGGTAATCAGTTTGGTCGACCATGATAATATCTAATATCTAATAGCTCTAATTACCATTGTACATTATTTCGTTGCGTCTGATGTTATTATTCTCGCGCTAATTACAACTATCTTTTGTCAGTACATTAACTTAAAATCAATCAGTTCCGCAAAAATTAATACTTGAAAATCATGGTTCATTTTGGAATTCTCAATAAGTTCTCGCTATAAGATAACTATTTATTATTACGTTTCGAAATTCATCTGATGCATAATCATATATTTGGAATCCATAATAAAAACACATACATATATCAACCTACACTCATAAAAAATATAGTTCACTTTGTGTTGCATAAAATTACACTTAAATATTACAACTTTTGAAAAGTACTTGACAAACACCTAGGATTAAAGAAAATTTCCGGAATCTATTTTAATAAATTACAAATATTTAGGCATAAATAATTGATAGAAGTAGTGATGTCCTCATAGTTATCATCAAAAGGCGTATATACTCCTCAGCAATCCCCTGTTTCATAGTTTACGTCTAGGAGAGAGTATGAGAAAAATGATCCCAAAAAACAATCCTAAATTTTGGATTGTAAGTTGATCTATTCAAACGCAACACGGTGTGTAATAATGAGGAGAGGCACCAATCTACAGTTAAAGAGGTTAAGTCGTCCAGTGTGATGTTAACAGAGACTGACTTCCTTGACGTGTATTAGTAAGTGAAAATACATCACAATGAAAAGAATAAGTGTTAGGTGGACGAAAACATGTCATCGCTGACTGTTAGTGTCAGCCAGGGACATGAGTGTAGACTGGACGACTGACATCCTTGGAAAGCTAAAAATCAACTACTGCGGACTTTTCGTGACATGGTTTAAAGCTGTTCACAAAGTTTCAGATGTATTAAATTCTTATCCTCTTTAGGATTTTGAAAAGCCCTAATTATTTTTCTCCGTCATACTTCGACGATGTCTGGGCATTTAATTAGTATTTAATTGGTGGATGGTGACTAGCAGTGGAATCCAGGATGCGCATTTCTTCCTTTGGTGTTTGAAACTATAGGCACTGGGTTCGAGCCTCGGTGGAAACATAATCACTCACTGAGAAATGCAGGTACATCCATATGACGAGTCCTAAATAGGACGAAATGTGCATCCTGGATTCCACTGCTAGTCACCATACACCAATTACATACTTATTTCTGCCTATAATACTATCATTTCAGTTTCTTCTTTCTTATTTTGTGTCAATTAGAACTTTCGTGCAAAGTAGTTTCACACTGATTCTACACAGCCGTCATAGAATAAATCTGCCTGACACACAACTATTTTAAATGTTTTTTTGAATCCACGTCAGAAATGAACGGGTGAAAGATTGCATAGTTTTTATCTTACTATTTGAACGTTGTGTGTAATAGAAGCATTCAATTCCTTTCCTTACTTGCCTACAGACTGAAAAAACCCAAATGTTGCAGTTTCGGCAGACACAGTTCAGACACTTTTATCATTCTACCACTGCATCAAAACAATATGATTATTCACTATGGAATAGTATGTTATGCTTGATAACTGGGGATGCCTAAGCTGTCTACGGTAAATATAACAGACAAGCAATACAGTAATATAGTCATATTTTCAGGAAAAGTCTCAGTGTTATATGTATATATATATATATATATATATATATATATACATATGCATACTATTCCACCCCAGGGCATTTGTCAACCCAACTTCGGTATTATTCTTAGTCTTGTTCGTTTATTCATTGTCTCTGACACACACCAACATCTACCGTACAAAATGGGAAACAAAAAAAGCTCGTCAACTGGCGTGCGTCTCACTATACATATATATGTATGTATATATGCTCCGTAAGATAAAGGTAGATCGAATATTTTAACAGATTGGCCTAGAAGAGGATGAGTATAGTCGGCCTACACATTAGAATGACTGAATGCATATATATATATATATATATATATATATATATATATATATATATATATAAGTAAGAATCACTTGACTTAGTTTGACCAATAATAACGCTACAAATAATCAATAGAGAAAAGGGATAAAAATCCAGACAAGACAATCATTTTATGTATATGTAGGTCATATATGATATTAAATTAAAGATATCTAATGCTTACTTAGTCAAGCAATCAGAAATGAGCAAAAATGCGACAGCATACAATGAAGCAAAAACTGTAAATAGAAGCTAATCGGTGGATGGTGACTAGCAGTGGAATCCAGGACGCGCATTTCGTCCTATTTGGGACTTGTCAGATGGATGCACCTGCCACTCCGCAGTGAGTGATGATGTTCCCACCGAGGCTGTAAAGTTGTAATACTGTGAAAACTGACCGAATATTGAAAGCGTCGTTTGTACTGAAGCGTTACATGTTGTTGTATATGATGCCATAACAACAGCATACAATACAGTAATATGACGCATCTATGACTGTTGTGAACAGAATACCGGATCTTCGTGATCCGATATAATCTGATTACGAATTATGACTGATCTGTTTATGCATATGACTTCCTTTCAATGACGTTCAATGGTTAGAAACCCTCTCCGCCCACTGTGTAGTATCATCAGACCTTAAGCAATGTGTGGGTTATGGTCAGGTAACTAAGTTCCAATGGTTCATAATTTTTAAAAAATTATCCATTATATTCATAAATGACAAATCGGAGACTTGAAAAATAAAGCATTGTGCGACCGAGTCTCATATTCCACTATAAAATGCATACTGAACCTTCTTAGAGACCGGAAGATGCTAAAAACAAACAGGTTAATTACAAATAACCGAAGTTTTCAAGTTCGACACTAAAAAGGTATAAACCACTGCGTTATCTTCAAGGTTGCATGAAAGGAAATAACATGCAAGCAGTTAAATATACATTCTAGTGAGCCATTGGAGTAATTTTATTTGATGTAAGCAAAAAAAAACTTTTAAGTTTTTATAATTATTGAAAGGACAAGTAGTGTAATCAACGTCTAAGCAACACAATTTTGCACACAGTGATATTATGTTAAACATTTTTAATTTGTTGAACTAACCTCTTCAGCTTCTTTAGCTCGTCGACGTGCTGCTAAAACACGCTGGAGATCAGTCATCATGTCAACACCAGCAGTACGCGGAGCAGTGGAAGTAGATGAATCTGGACTTGGACCAGCAGCCACTGAAGATGACCGCAGACGTTGTTGTCTAGCCATACGCAGCTGGGCGTCTAAACTACCCGGTTCAGCGACACTATCATAATCATTAATATCTGAAACATCTGCAGTCGGTTGTGAATTCACTGGTTTATTGGTTGTGCTTAGTGTGTGTCGCAAAGTTTTCGATCCAGCAGTATTAGTTGTTAATGCCGGTGGTAGAGGTGGTGGAGGAGGGGGAGGAGGTGGTGGTGGTGGTGGCGGTGGAGCAGAAGCAGAGGCAGCAGCTGACTGCTGAGATGAATCATTTAACTTAACATCACCGATTGAAGCACCTATGAAACAAGATTCAAATGAGGCATTATGTTTAACAGTAATATTCCAAATAGTAAAAAACAATATATAATTTCATTCATTCACCATCAGTTGTCCTTGCACAGTTGAGTCATTCTACGAACAGGATTCGAGCCCATGACTCAATGGTTGAAATTCAAATGTTCAAGTTAAATGTTGGAAAATTTAAATTTGCGATAACAGAATATAATCGCAAAAGATGGGCAAATCGTGGTGCCTATGAAGTGGCTCAAGAGGACATGTAGTCTGAATTAAATCGATAGCTGTTTTGTTAAGGTGTCCTTGGAAACATTCCTACTCTGTTGTCACAGAAATTATATATGAATATATATATGAATATATATATATATATATATATATATATATATATAACATAAACATAAACATAAACATAAATAATGAGTGATACGACACCAAAGAAGACGAATACAAGATAACAAACGAGTAAATAATCGAATTGCTTGCAGCTCAATCGACTACTCACAAGTAGTATGATATTCTTTGAGGTAATATGCTGTGTATAACGACATTAAAATTTAGATAAGTAGCAAGATTATATACATATAGGGATTATATGATAGTAACGAGATAGTTTTTGTAAAACGTTTTCAAATATAGACAGCCACTTCACTAAAACTTTATTTAAAGAGAAAAAGTAAGTCGATAACGTCAGCCAGCCTATCAGAATACTACAATTTCCGGTAGACAAGTCTGAAAATGTCATCCTTGAAAAAAAAATTGGAAAAAAATTTACTATTTGACGAATTACTGCTATATGTCTATATATATATATATATATATATATATATATATATACATAATACCAACGGCACCACAGTTTGATAGAGGGTTAGTAGTTTGGTTTTAAGAAAAGCACTACAGGCTAACAAATATTCCTGTAAGGCTTTGAGTGCAACCGACTGAACAGACACCATTGTGTGGTAGATTCAAAACTGATTGATATGTCTAACTAATGAAAGCGTAAATGGTTCTTAGTATGAAAAATAAACTGAATTCTTACTGATGGCAACATTAAAAATTACTTGCTTACTGCATTACTACTCAAGATGCAGACCATTGACACACAACCAATACGGTCACTATTATTATTCCCGCGGATTCCGACTGCAGCATAGGGCTTCTTCATGGTATTCTGTTTTCCGCCGTCCTTATGTAGCTCTGCAATCGCCCTTTAGCATTCATTTCCTCCCTAAATCATTTTCTCTACGTCAAACTCGGACAGCACACTCGTAGCCTCCCATTCCCATTTCACTCAGGGATCTGGCATTTATATGCCAGTCAACAGTCTCCTCAAAGTATGCCAAATCCATCTCCACTTGCTTCTGCATATTTGCTGAGCAATAGGTTCTTGTCTGGCTCGCCGATTGCCAGAGTTTCTTGCTTATCCTTTCCGGATGGCCATTTAAAACTGCAGTATCAAGCTTTTGGTGACACGTGCGCCAAGTCACTGAACCATATGGAAGCACTAACTTGATTGACATTAGTGTTGAAAACGAGGGTATTGTTCCATGTAGCAAACACCTGTTTCGCTTTCGCAGTCCCATCCTGGTTGGCTTCAACATCGTCATCCGTGTCGTCTGTAGTTGACGCGACGATGCTCTTCATTTAGTCTTTACACGGTTTATATGATAATCGAATTACTATACTCCATTGTTATTCGTCCTAAATGATCATTTTTCTGATAAGCTTGGATACCGGCGCCACAAATAATGTACATTGAAGGGATTTATACTGAGATTAATTCAATCATGAACGAAGCCTTATATACACAAACTTTTATATAGTTACCAAGTGAAACTAAGATGCTAATTTCTTTTACAAGAACTACTTTTCTAATAATAAACTTACAAGGATTTGGTGAAAGCGACCTGGAGCTAGTAATATCATCTGAATTCCCAATTACGGCTTTCGCAGTATTACTGGGAACATTTGTTATTTTCTGGGGTATTGTTGAATTCATATGAGGTCCACAAGATCCGTTAGGTATACCACGAAGACCTCTCACACTATCATCGGAAGATGAATAATACCTAAAGAGTAAAAACAAAAGAAAACCAGTTGAATTTTCGTCATAATATCGCTAATAAAGTGAGTTCCACCTGATATACTTCAATTGGCTTTTATATTTCCTACAATCGCCACGAATACGGATTCATGCTACTTCGAGAACATTGCACTATAATAAAAGATTTCATGAATCCATGGAGTTTTTTGAACATATATTATTTTCTGTTCTATCCTATTATAACAGCGAAACAACCTTCAAACCACACAGGTCAACTGGATAGTTGTGAAGACTTAAAGTAACCTCCATCGTGTTGCAAATAGCCTGGTCTACGGTAGGTGTCTGAGGGTAAAGTCGTACAGAAGGAATGTGAAATGCTTTTTTACAACGATCAAACATTCAGTTGTGCCTTACAGTTTTGAGAAAATATTTGATAATATAAGCCTCGAAACTATAAACCCTAATTGTCACTCAAAACTAACCTTTTATTTGTACCAAGAAGAAATCGACTTCCCGAATGAGTACAGAAGACAGGTACCAATTGCCTTCACTCCTCTATCAACACTCAGACCTTATCTGTTCATTTTAAAGTGGAAGTTTTGACCGACCTTGGATGGCTGTAGTATGAGATGACAATTCACCTGATCTTCTGATTTACTGTTTGCCATTATTATAGACTGATTAGTTTTCTTTGCAGGATTTTTCACGAGCTGACAACAATCAATGAGCCAATGGAAAACTTGGGAGTACTGGACAGCTGTTTCGTCCCAGTTTGGGGCTCTTCAACAGCACGCAACCACTGGGGTTCAAACCCAGGACCTTCCAGTTACGAGATATATTCAGCGCCCGTAACATAGGCTGGCGATCGCATTAAATATGTACCACCATTGGGTCGAGTCCCAGTGGCTTAATGGTCTACAAGATCGTCTCTTAACTGGAAGGTCCTGGGTTCAAACCCCAGTGGTGGTTGCATACTGATGAAGAGTCCCAAACTAGGACGAAAGAGTTAACTATTACTCCCAAGTTGTCCAATGGTTCTCTAACTGATGTCAGCTCGTGATCAATCAATCCTATAACCAATTAAATCCGTGCTAACCAACACTTGGCGGTCATTTTTTGGCTCAAGTTTAGAATACATTTACACTACATCAATAATTTGTGAGTACAACTTAGAGTTGTTGGATTGATTTCAGTGTTTTACATGAATTGATTTTACACAGAGGTGTTTGTTCCTATATACAGAAAATGTTTATAGCTTATCGATTTAATTAAACTGCACACACTTTAAACACCATTTCAATATTGATAAAAAATATATTTATATAACTAAATGGGGTTAAAACTGATCTTCAGTCAATTTAAATGCATTAGGAAAAGGTCAACAAAGTGATGATCGCTCACATGAAACCCAATGCCTAACATAAAGTCATACAAATGAATAGACATTAGAAGAAAAAATTGATGATACAACTTTTAACTTGATGAAGTGAATTGTTTACAAATCTTTGAAAAAAAAAATTATCAAAAAATTGAGATCATGAGTTAAAAAATAAAATCACAAGAATTTGAATGTTATCTACAAGTCATCGAATGAGCAGTTATTACTACTTGATTTAATCACTACCTTATAGAATCTACATTGTTCACTGGGTATAACGACTGGGGCTCGAACCCACTGCCCATAGTTCGAAATGCCGAAGCATTATCCACTAAACCACTTGGGCCACGGGAGCTGCCTCTTATGCAACAGATCTTGTTGATTATTTAATTCGATTTAGATTTTCTCGTCGATGGACTGGACCGAAGCGCTCAATCTCAAGCTGACATGTCGCCACCCTGTGCAGATGCTTCGACGATGTCTGGTCATAGCACTGGGTTTGGGCCCCGGTGGGAACACCATCACTCACCGGAAGCCGCAGGTATATTCAGCTGAGGAGTCTGAAATATGACGAAGTGCACATCCTGGATTCCACTGCTAGTCACCACCCACCAATTGACTTCAAATCACATGACCAGACATCGTCGAAGTATCTATACAAGGAGGCGACATGTCAATCTGAGACCGAGCACCTCAGTCCGGTCAACGGATGGGAAAATCTAAATTGCATTAAGCGTTTTTTGATATTGTTGTCTTCTGTGAGCTGAATAGATTTCATCGTCAAGTTTTCATCATCCTTCCAGACAATGTGATACATAGTTTAACACTGACAACCAACTTCATTAAGGGAAACGGTTATTTTATTTATGGAGAACTCCCCAAGTTCACTTCATTTCGAAGGACAGTTAAGACAACCATGCAGCTCAGAACTACAAAGCATCAAATGTTACCTATCTAAGTCATTTGATTTTGATTAAACGACTTTTTACACCAGCCTGCTTCAAGTATCACTAGGCATAATTCAACCATTTAATTGAAACTGAGATGGTCACGAACTAATTGCTCATAGTATCGTACAGTTTGTAGTTGCTCAAACTTTTCTTAATAGTTGTCAAAAAGAAAAGACAATACACAAGGAAAGCTCACTGAACATTATGTCCATAGAGTGTGATGTTGATAGTTCTGTAGATGCAAATGTCAACCAAAATAAAAAGACAGAAAACTATTAAAACCTACATAAACAGGCTTCAAAAAATACCCACCATGCATACATATTCTGTTATGCAGTTTTTGAAGAATTAATTGACTATTTATAAATAGTTGTCATCAGGATATGACAATAGTTCTGTATTCAAATGTGACTACATTTTAAAAATGTAATTTCCGGAAACAAAAATGATTCGCACAATAATCACTGTCACTATCACGCATGCTACTGCTACTTTAATTACTACTGTTACTACAATATAACATTAATAAAAATGAAGCCATGGTAACAACTCGCCAGCAAAACAAACTATTCGATGAGTTCGATCAATCCAATGGGTGATAACTGAAGGCAAAGTGAAAATCTAGAACACAGAAGGAATCGAAACAGTGGCCTCTATCCTGATTGCTAGCACGGTGCTCTATCAGGCGCTAGCATTGAGATCCAGCCTCCAGCCTGTCATTCATTACGATCCAGATTTTCATTTTACGTTCAAACATTACGCATAACATTAATAGTGGTCTGTCAATCGCAGATAATTACAGATAGTCTGACTACAAATCCAATGAAATAACATATCGAGAAGGGAGATTGAGGGAAGTATGAATAGGAATGGAGTAAAGTCAAACGAAACTGTACACACTATTCAAGTGTATACAACCACTCATATTCATAACTTGTATATTTAGTAAAAATATGAAATATAATACAAACACAGATGCACATACTTGCACACAAACAAAATATCTGCCTCACAAAGCATCAGAATACACATTGACATAAAATCCTACACTTTAATTAATACTGCTACTGCTACTAATAATAATCTGTTGTAAATTTCTAGGCTTAGTTTAATATACTGATATGTCAATAAAATTTGAACATAACAGGAAAATAAGATTAGGCCACAGCTTTTAATTGTTAAACATTCACCAGCTAAATCTTAAACTATCAGTATAAATTCTAACTAGAGAGGAAATATACATATAGTCAACAGATTTTCCACAAGGGGGTTTCTCCTTTTAAAAAAAATTGTGTTCTATTATTTACAACATAAGGAGACATGTAAAATGCGTCCTTGGCGAACACAGAGGAAATTATGCGTATTCAACACTGAAACAGAGTACATAGTGTTAGACTGCGTTTATATATATATATATATATGAAGAGAATTTGTCGAAGATGAAAGAAACAGTCTCCAACCATAGTTTCTAAGCAGCCTGAAGACCCTAGTTGGCCAGCACCAGCAGTCATTGACCTCATCCGTTGATGAAATCCTTCGACCTAACTGCCCCCTCTTCAATTATTTCCAAACTTATTCAACTCCAGCTGAAACCAGTTATCGAAGGAGAGAGTGACTTAGTATGCATACGACATGTCCTAGAAATCTCAATCGATGTGGCTCCACGAGCTCATTGATTGACTTCAAATTCCCTTACACTAATCATCATGTTTTTCCATGTACTGCGAATAATTGACTGAAAGCACCAATGATCCAACCCCCCCCCCCAAATTTGTTCGTATCCTCTACCTTTAATGGCTATTTCTTACAGCGGTAGATTAAGACCGAGTAAGCTGTACACAATACATACATCTTTTAATGGATAGCCAAATTTTACGCTTACGCAAACGATATTGCAATCGACCAAATGCCGAATCAGCTTTCTGAAACTACACTGAAATCTTGTAAGCTATGAGTGCAATCAAATAGACACATGCTACTACACAAATAAGTCAGTTGGTCAACACATTCACAATCAATTCACTTTAAATCAGCGAGAATTTTCTCTCAGACTGCTAAGTGGAATAAAAACGGTGACGATAAGCATCACTGTCGTCATTGTACATGACAACTCTCTACAGATTCTAACAAATTGCCATGGGTCCGAATAGCACGGCTTAATCAGTACTATATGGTTTCTTGTCACTCTCTTTACAGTCAAGAAATATGGCAAGAGTCGGACGCTAGTGAGTATGCCTGTGTTCAAGAGCCCGTCAAATGGTCAAAATTTGATCAATTAACGTTTACCTACACCTGAAACCTGTCCAGTTTACTAGAGTCTCATTTACCACAACTTCACTCAATCATCCTTAAACTATGGAATTTAGGAATATCCCAGTTATCCCAGTAGTCCCCATTTATTGTAGACTGGAATGATTGACAATCTGCACCAGTTTGATAGACTTTTCAAGAATGCATGGTAATGTATCAGTAGTTAAGTATAAGCAGCATATTTCTGAGTTTTCAAAACTGATAGATATCGACTAACTGGTATAAAATTCCTCATAATCAATTCTCAACATTTCATACAAAAATCCCAGTTTAATTTACGAGCTTGCCTTGTAACTTCAAGGCCCTTAGTTCAACCCCCGGTGGGTGTGTACTGCTGAAGAGTCCAGAGCAAAACAGCTGTCCAGTACTCCCTAGTTCCCAAAGGTATCCTAGTGACATCATTCCATGATGAAACTTGAAACGAATCAAATTCCCCAGAAACTGACTCTTGGAAATTATATACCCCATTAAAAAAACTTTTTCAAGCCTTAGGAATACACAGATTTACACTAGTTACCACACCTAGCGACCAATTATTTATCTAAATAAATATTTATAACAAAAGCTAAAAAAACAATAAATCAAAAATAATTTGGAATGAAATTATACATCCTAGAGTGTAATAATAACTCTTGAGTTATTTGTATTACAGTTTATATAATTGCTCTATTTATTTGCACAGTGTATAGATTACGTGCTAAAAAGGTTTATTGTTGCAGGAAGCATTCGACTAGTTGCATTCATTATATTATATTATTATATATATGGTATGAATTAGCAATTACATGACGTATATCGTCTGAACAACTATGGAGAGATCGATAAACTACAGACAATAAAAGTGTAAATTATTCATGCACAATTTCTATTTATTCCTCCTCTAACTTATTTTTGAAATTAGTGTAAACAACAAGTAGGCCTCCAATAATTGAATTAAATAGGAAGAAGGATGAACAAATACGCATGCATGCATACATATACACATATACACACACGCTTATTCACATTATTTAACATCTAAGCTATTCATCAAAAATAATAATAATAAAAAAGAGAAGCAAACTTCATCCTCCTTTCATATCTAACTTAACCCAAACCAACAGTCTCATCAAGATAGTATTCTCAGAGGGGAAAAAGAGAAAAAAAGAGGGGGGATACAGCAATAGCTAAGCTAATATATGTATATTTTATCTTTCCTTTTGTTTTTTGCTTTATACGCCTTCTTAGGCATACATCTTGGTGGTATTGGTATTGACGTTTTGTTGTGTAGTAAAACGAAATTAAATTAACAACAATATGTGTTGTGAACAGGTTGATCTCCCTTTTCTGTATTTCATCATTTTACATAAACACATAATAAAGAAATTATAAATTGGATTTCGGTAAGTCAGAAATAGGATATATTTAGAACCAAGTAAATAAAACACAACGATGATTCAATTCAGTTACAAAATTATGCGTGGGAAAAGAATCTTTAACAAATGTTTGATGAGGTTTAAGCCATAATTCACTTTTTTTTTTAAACTCTATATGTACGTTAAAAATAAAAACACCAAACAAACTGCTTGGTCAACAGAGCTATAGCCCCTGCTCTGAGCAATGCATTTTCAACCAGTACATAACAGTCACGAAACCCGCTTAATTTACTGAAATTTGGGTGGTCAGGTAGTATTATCAATCCTCTCCTCACACCCCCGACCCCACCACCACAATCATGCAACAGATATGGCTCATTGGTAAGTGTATGTAAGTGAGTAGGATTGTTCAGATACATATATTTTACGTATCCAATATAATTAATCAAAGAACCCATTTTATTTTAAATAAATCGCCGTCTCAAACTTAGCCAAGCGTTGATTTACCTAATTCCTACTTAATCAATATTGGTGAATGTTGCAGAACTCGGACACCTGAAACAAAGTTTTCATCTTCTAGGACTGAGCCACACATGCTGTGTCAGGGCTGATAATACTACCCAATTACCGCCTTCCTCAACGGGCAGTGTTAGCTGATATAAGATGGATCAGGTTGGGAAACAGCCAGTGGTGGTCAAACCAAAACATGGCTTCATCAGTCAATGAAATCCACCTGATGCTCACTAGCGACTGGCCCTATTCAGGCAGTGACCTGTAGTTCTGGTGGGAAGCTGTGACCAGTAGGGTACAGCAGGTTGAAGGTGGGGCAGTAACTCATCGAAGAAGACATTGCAAAGTGGTCACGCTATGTCATGATTTGGCAGAAGTTAGAATTCATGCACTGGCTGGTCAGTGGATCGGGTCCCAGTGGCTTAATGATCTACTAGCTAGCTCGCCTTGTAACTGGAAGGTCGTGGGGTTCAAACCTTGTGTGTGAGTGCGTACTGCTGAAGCGGAGTCCCAAACTAGGACGAGACAGTTGTCTGTCCAGTACTCCCAGTTGTTCTTCCAATGGTTCTCTAACTGATGTCAGCTCATGATGAAATCCTACAGCAAATCACACAAAAATGCCTACAAAACCAATACTTGAAATCCACAACAGTTGGGTTAAGCCAACGACGTAGGGAGGTGTAGATTTCCTGACTGATTGGGCTCCTCGGGATAGTAAGAACTAATGGCTGGATAGAATTGGTGATATAGCTCAAAATCGTCATCGTCAATGGTGCAGATGCATTTACTCTGTGATTTATAATATCCAATAAAATCCTATTATTCTTCCACATTACAATTCTTTTTGTCTCACATTTCTGTTTATTAACCTTCTTTACTCTCTTCTCTTGCTTCGTGGGCCACATGGTGTGTGGCAACTCGAACTGCTGCACATCTCTGCAAAGTTCTACTTTTAAATCTATCAGTCAGTCACCGAGGTCGAAGTAATAGGCGAAGAGAGATTATAACCTGACAATTATTGGTTAAAAGCCAAATGTATGTGTCAATGAGACACTCCTCACATCAATGGTATACTTAAGTAATATCATGTCTGCACACTTGATAAAGATCCTATATACATATCAATGTTTACAATCAAAGTGATTTGCTTATCCTCCATTTTTATGACTTTACGCCTACTTTCAATATTTTCTACAGTGTTTCGAGATGGAATCACATATAGTCGGTCGGTCGGTCAGTTTTCGACATAGAACTTTGCACCGATGTGCGGCAGTTCAAGTCGCCACATTCCCTTCTTGTAGCACACAAAGCAAGAGAAGAAAGTAGGAGAAATGCATAGTATAGACAGTAAACAGAGGTGTGAGACAAAGGAATAGGAATAACGAAGAACAAAACAGTTTCATTGGAAATCATAAGTCACAAGGAGTGGATGCATCTGCACCACTGAGAACGATTTTGAGCCATGTCACCAATTGTTCTCAACCACTGGGTTTTACCGTCCCGAGGACCCCAACCAGTCAGGAAGTCTACACCCTCCTACGTGGCTTAGACTAACTGTTGTAGATTTCATTGACTGGTGCCATGTTTTCGTTTGACCGCCGCTAGCTCTTTTCCAGCTTGGTCCTATATCAGCTAACATTGCCCGACGAGGAAGGTGATGACTAGGCAGACATAGCAAAGATTTAAAATAAATCATCTAAGGCCATGAGTCTTGTATTATCCTGTTTACTACTTATTGCCCTCTTTTCTCGTAGATTGATTCAACCTTCTTGTATCACTCAGAAGTGCAATAAGCTGAAGTGATGCACACGAAACAAAAAAACAAACAACACACACAACCCGAATGATGTAGACAATCAAAACGGTCAGTAGTAATTTGAGCATAGTTACTTATCGAATATCAAAGAAGAATTTATGCATTATTATATGTCACACAAATGTACAATATACTAAAAGCGTAATCATCATAGAAAAGATCAATTAATCTGCTCGTATAATAAAAAGGATATTTCAATTTTACTCAACAACTTACGGTGAATCAGAATTCAAACCATGCTCTGTGTTACCATTCATAATAAAACCACCATTTTGCTCTGTTGACTTCAGACAAGCAGCTGTTATACAACAAAATAATAAAAGTAAACAAATTAAAGGATTATTTCGTTATACAACATGTAATAATGTAGTGAATAACCACTTACTAATTAAAAGGACAATGGAACAACAAATTAAAAGATAGCTATTTCAAATAATGTTCTATTATCACTTAGTTTTCTTAGGTTAATATGCATTTCGTATTAATTGAATATGTTGGACCAAAATGGTTGGTTAGCTGTTGTTGTTCTTCACATTTCAGCTCCTAATACGGACGTTTCACGGATTTCTGAGGATTAAAATGAAGTTATTTGGGTTGATGGAGACTAACAGTGGAGTCCAGGATCCGCATTTGGTCCTACTTGAGACTTGTCATCTGGGTTTATCCTCATTTTCAGTGAGCATAGGCCAAAATGGTACAGGAGTCGAGACTCAGTGGGAACATCATCACTCACTGCGAATGCAAGTGCAGCCAACTGACAAGTCCCAAATAGGACGAAATGAGCATCCTGGAAATCACTGCTAATCATCATTAACCTAAATAATGTTTAACCATATCAAAATCGTAAATCAGTTAGCTGTACTCAAAAAAGAAACAATAGATTTCAAAAAGTCTGGGTTATTAGCACCTTCAGAAATTTCGTCACACACTCGGTTTCGACGCTGGTCTACATTACAGCCCCTAAAATCAAGGAGTATTAAATAAACATTTAGAAATAAGGGTTGTAAATTCAAGTTCTGTAGTTCGTTTAGTAAATATAAATTAATTTTCATGTAGAATTCCAGAAGAATCAACAGATATGACATGACAGCAAATATTACAAGATAGACGGGACAACCAAAAGTATTAAGCCACTGATTACTTTAACAGACGTTTGCTAAAAGTGACTAGACTAGATACTATACCAATTGTGAAGTCATTGCCTCTTAATTTGAATTTTATAGGATAGTTATTTGACACCAACGCTTCTATCTATTTTATTTCATCACACAATAGGGTGGTGGGAGACCAAGTGATGAAATAAAACAGATAGATAACTATCCTATAAAATTCATTAGGAAGGTCAGAAAAGGCCGCAAGCCAAATAAAAATAATGGAGAAACTAACAATGATAACATAAATAAGAGAGAATATAAGTCATCTACTGTTATACCATATAAGGAGGGGACATCTGAGACCCTACGTAGGATTATTAATAAAGCAGGAATTAGAGTGGCATATAAACCTACAAACTCACTCAGAGACACGCTCTGTAGGTTAAAGGACCCTGTTGGTTGACCCAATTAGACAAAATAATATAACTTACAAAATACCTTGCAATGACTGTGAATTAAGTCAGCTACATAGGTCAAACGAGTAGATCGGGGGTAGTCAGATTGTCGGAACATAAGAATTTAGCCAAGGTAAGAATGATTGACCTCACCCGCGAAGATAAGTAATTTAGGAAAAAGCTCAGCACTACATTGCACTGCATGCATTAACACACAACTACACAACAGGGTGGGAGAGGGTTAAGATTCTAAGAAGTAATCTATATAAGGGGAGAGAGAGAATGATTACTGAATCCTGGTTCATTGAGTCTACACCCAACACATGCAACAGAAATGACTCAATGCAAATACCAGAAATATGGAAGATATTATTACAGCCAGTCATATCAGAAGAGGATAATAAATAATCTCCAAATTCTATTTCAATTCAAGCATATCACAACATTCTAACAAGTTACTTATTATGACTAAAAAACACTCGTCTTACTTCCCATCTGATTGTTATTGACCAATAACACTCATATTATTGCCAACAGTCAAATCAGAGGAGGATAATAAATAATCTTAAAATTCTATTTCACTACAAGCATATCACAACATTCTAACAAGTTACTTATTATGACCATAAAACACTCGTCTTATTTCCCATGTGATTGTAATTGCTGAATAACACTCGTATTATTATTCCTGAATGTACATTATCTCATATTGATTTTTATTCAAATATCTAGTCAATTCCAAACATGTATATAAATGAAGGAAAAGGTTGTGTGAGTAACTTGATATGATTATGAGTGGCAATATTTTGTGCTCGAAACGTCATCAGTAAATATTACTGTATAACACTGTGAGACTTTATCAAAATAAATTGTACCCATAATGGAATATAAACTATTTCACTGAGATCCTTGGCATAACAGAAATCAATGATAGGTTACAGCAGTAAAAGTATGTAATTGACTATCGTAGCCACTTTCAGAGAATATATGGAGAAATTTAAAAGTGGTTTTCAAAAAGCACTTGAATAAGTCTTTATAGTAGGTAGCTTCGATTAATACATTCATGACTTCATTAATTACAGACCAGTAGAATTCCTCGATAATTCAGTAGGATTTGGTTTACATTGAAAAAAAGCCTTACTGCATATATAGTTGTGTATCTCTGTGAATGAGGTGAGATTCTCACCTTCTTTCAATAGTCTAATTTCATGACTTGCTAGTTAAACCATCGAAATGCTGCTAACTCGAATCCTACTAATATATGAATCTCCTTTCACCTTTAGTACGAAAATACACAAAAACATCAATTATTAGTTAAGGTGTTTAACTTTCAACCAGTAGATCCACGTGTTCCTACATAAACTGCTCATTGAAGTTAGATTAGCTGGTAGACAGCTAAACTATCACGTTATATATATATATATATATATATATATATATATATATATATATGAGATCATACAACCCTTATTTTTATAAACATCTAGCTCATGAGTTGTATAATCTTAATCAGTATGGAACTGTTAAACATTTGCATATAAATCAAGGAAGTTGGAAGTCATGTGATGCAAAATAATAATAATTAATTAATTAATAAAAATTGACTGGTGAATTAAAGTTGTATTAAAACAATACTGACGATCACGACGATGATAATAATAATAATGAAAACAGGTAAATATCAATTCACCATGTTTTTAACCATTTTTTTCTCTCGTAGACTAAACGTTTCAAGTGAATACAGGTGTACACATAATTGGGTAAATAGAATGTAAAACTCCAATAGAGGAAATTTACGCCAGTTGATACGATCACCGCTGACATAATAAATGTAGCTTAAAGTTCAGTGCACGAATTTATAAGTAGATACTGAGTTAAGTGAAATCGAACTGACTGTTTCAATTTATTTTCAGTTCTAACAATCTAAAATTGTATATCTTTTATATACTCCATAAGGCATTTCAAGTAACTGTTCCCTGAGCTTTACAGTCATGCAACACTACTACTCTTTCTGCCTTAGGCATTTCAGTTCTTAAACACGTTTCTTACTGATATCATAAACAAACAACAGAAAATACCAGGGATCAACACTCATTCAGCTACTGACAGCTAAACTTTCTTTTTAATTCCTTCACGTTCCCAGTGGAACATAGGGCTCCAAGCTAGAGGCTTGAAGTTTCGGTAGCAGTGGTGTTTTATTTTTACGGGATAGGGTTGCTAGCCTCATACCCAACCTTCTCTCTTTACCAGTCTTATTACTGGCTTAGCGAGGTAAAGGAGTGCATCGGCCAGGGATCGAACCCTGAACCACCTGCGTGGTTGACGACCATTCTACCAGTGTGCCACCGACGGACAACAGCTAAACTAACCAATATTAAAATTTTGCATCAATGAATTATAAACGCAAATCATACTATACTGAAAATTTTTAGTGACAAAATAATTGGCGAAGTCAAATCGTAGTAGTTAACATGGGGCAGTCAATGTTAGCCAATGACCACTTTCATCTATGTGAGACTGATAATCAGCTCCACCTATCGTATAAGGACTAATGATACTACGCAGGGGAGTTACAATCAATGACCTATTGCCTGCAAGTTGAGAAACTGAATCAATCAGCCATAGCTCCACCACCACAATAGGTGAATATCCCTCCATAAACAGTTTCAACCAAGACAAACAACTGTGCTGTGTATGTACAGCAACAAAAGAAACCAGCGGAGTACACGACATAAATCATACTAAAAAAGTTGTGGTTAGAATTAACTTGAAGAAATTTAAAGAAATGAAACTGTTGGATTAGAACGACTTTAAAATACATCTTGTAGAAATAGGCAACATAAATTATATAGATCACAAATTTTAAACGCTTGATATGCACACCAATGCATATTTATGCCAAATAACTCGAGTGAACAGTGTTTCCAGCCTAGACAGTCTTTGAGTACAACGGTGATTAGCTTGTGTCCTCATTCATAAAGTGATACAAAATGTCCTAACAATTTAGGTCAAATCAAAGTAATCAATTGAAAGTGGAAATGTGACTCATCGGCTTAATCACTTAACTTTCAGTCATCAGATCCTCAGTTCGAATCCCCCTCCACCTACTTCAGTCAGCAAAACTAAATTAGGTAGTATCACCCGGCTTCACGCAATAAGTGTGGTTCATTTCCTGGTATGCGAAAGACCTGTTGCGGATAAAGGAATTCAGACAAGAACGATGAAAATCATTTCAGACAGAGACATACAGACAAATCCCCATCAACAAATACGACTATTATTTTTTGTCCGAATATAGCTATAACAACGAACATATTCTAATATTTCTACGAATAAAATTAAGGTTTATAAATTGTGGCACAGCGGTTAGGACGCTCGCCGACCATGCACATGTTCCGGCGTTCGAATCCCGGCCGATGCACTCCTTTACCTCACTAAGTCAGAAATAAAGCTGGTAAAGAGGAAAGGTTGGGCATGAGGCTAGCAACCCCATCCTGTAAAATAAACACTGCTACAGAAACTTCAAGCCTCTAGCTTGAAGCCCTATGTTCCACTGGGAAAGTGAAGGAATAAAAAAAATGGAGTTAAAACAAAATATAAGAAATCGAAAATCTTGTTGTGATAGCATTTCCAAACACTAAGTTCCAGATTCCTAAATTCAATATTCGATGATAAGAAATAAGATTGTCAACTGAACAGCACTTTCACTCACTCACTCACTAAAAAGTTGATTTTGTTTACGACTTGTAATGTGAAGAACAACACAGTATAAACAAATACAAACTTAGTAAATTACAGTACTTGAGAGTGTGAAAACTTACTTTCAGTATTTTGTTGACTAGGAGGATTATTTTTACACATATTAGTTACAGCCGGGTAGACATTCTGATTACCATTTAAAACGACATTATCTACACGTTTATTAACAAATGTTTCATCATAGTTACATGATAATTGTTGTTCAGAGTGTTGATTAACTGTTGGTAACGGTTTATTCTTTTCTCCATAATGCTCAGTCGACTCAACTGTATCCTGTAATATAAAATGAGGGAATATGAAAAGAAGATGCACAAATTAAATGAGAGAATCAAAGGCGGTAAATCTTCAGCATTTATATATATACATATAGTGTAACTAGTCCCTAGTGGGACTGACCGAATCCTGTCAATCAGTTTGTGACGCGGTTACTATCCCAGGAGGCTTGCCGTCGCAATGCACTCTTGAATTAGTGTTAGAAGTTTGGAAGCAATTAGCGGGAACGCCTCGATCTCGGTTTCGCTGAAAGTGGATAACAAAAACCGATTTTCAGTGCTTAGTTCTCTTGTCTCTTATCGATTATTTTTAAATGAACATTCATCCCTTAACAAACTAGTTGTCGACCCTCTTAATTACGTGGGATGATTATTCACTATTTTTCCAGACATTGTTATTTCACATACACACTTTGACTTATTTTGCTACTAACTGACAATAACCTCTGACCTTTGGTGTAATTAGTGCTGCACAATATAAATCCCTGGATAACTGTACAGCTTTGAAATAAAGTTACGAAAAGATATCCGTTTAGCTGACTGGTGGCGTCATTAATTCATCATATCACATCGGAATTCTTCATACAACATACAATCTCATTCTTCCAATTAGATTTGGTTTGACCACATATTCTGAAAAGGCCATTCGATGGTTTCTTTTACCCTTTATCTTTAACACTCGTTCCAACCATATTTATGTAATTTGATATTCTTTAACAGATAACTTGATAACCTTCCTCTTAATTTATATTATTAAACGCAAAACAAATCATAATGAGATATACTAACAAGAAAACTTACACAAGATAGAATTGGTCGATTTTGTACTGTTATTGCAGTTGGTTGAATAGAATATGACTGACTGTTATTGCAATTAGCATTGCTATTATTATTATTATTATTATTAGTTATCAATTGATTTGATGATAAAGATTGTTGATTTGATATCTGTTGTTTTGGTTGTTGATATTGATGCTGAGATAAATCTTGATTAACAGTAGACACGGTAGAGATATCAGCAGCAGAAGAGGTAACGGAAGGTTTAAGTTGTTGCTGTTGTTGTTGTTGTTGAGCTTGTAAAGCCTGCTGACGATGCAATGCTGCTAAACTCTCCAAAGCAGATTTTACAGCAGCAGCAAATGCATCAGCTTCTTCAACTGACGTAAAATTTAATCCATAGACTTGTTGCCTACTGTCACGCCATTGATGAAAGGTAGGTCGCGCTTGATGATACTTTAATCCACGTGCAATGGCACAGTTAATAACAACCTAATTATAATTTGGAGAAAGATAAAATATAAGTATACAGTAATCAAGTGACTCCATTCAACAACACAGTTGTCTCTACGACATGGTATACACTTAAGAACTAATAAAGATAAGAGAATATTGACTGAACACACCTGTTTCAACTAACAGTATCCACTCCTTAAATTACGACACTATAAGAGTATCCGTTATTTACTTTTATATGATAAAAACTATCTTATAGTTATCTAAAACTTCATATTTAATAACAACTGTAAGCTGATTAGCAGTTCACAATGCAAATGAATTTCACGAAGTTTGAAAAGTAATCTGTGATACGCACGTTTGGCTAACGGATGCCTGCTAATGACACTGAAGGAATATCAACTTGTGCAATAAATTAATTGAATTTCTAAAGAGAAACTGATGAATCTTTTTCAGAAAATCTGATGATCTAAAATTTATTTTAGTAACAAGCAGGACACTATTGAGTATTCACACCAAGTATAATGAAATGGTTGATGGTAATTACTCACTTCTCCTCAATTAATTTTAAATCTTATTAAAAAAGTAATCAGTAAACCTCAAATGCTCGTAATGAAAATATCACCATCTATTTATGTAACCGATATGTGTAGGAGGGAAAACGGTATTGAATCCCTTCTTACTTCGCGATCTTGTAATCTCCAACCAACCACACGGTAGGCGTTAGTTAACGTATTATGATACAACTGAACTTTAGATATCCCATGTCCCGGGCCACTTGGAATCCAAGTACTTGCCTTTGAATCATATAGCATCACATTGGCTTTCGCTGTAGCCACGGCACACTCACTGTGAAAAAAAAAACATAAAATTAAGTGAGGTAAGACACAAAGTTACTAATTCATTGGTGATTTATATCCTAACACCATCTCATTATGACTGACTTACAGATGTCCTCTTAAGTTTTAAACTGTTACTTTTAACAATTGTGAACACAGGTCACATTGACAGCCGACAACTCTAGGAAAATCAGTATCTTCTGATGAAAATGTTCTTTCCTCTATTTCATTTTAAAAACAAATAATGCGCATAATCAAATAGGTGTTTCAGCACGTGCACCAGATATCTTACATCACACATATAATACATATCCACAACCTACTGAACAATTTGTGGGATTTGGGCACTGCAGTAGAATATAACTCCATATTACTATTTATTACTAATGCCCCATCAGTTCCCTAGTGCAAAATAGGGCTTCAGGTGCATTTCTCTATGATTTCCTGCTAACCTCACATTCCCTCCTCACATGATCTACAAATTAGATTCAGACGACCAGCTCATCGCTCCCTATTCGGGTTTCCACCTTACGACCTGGAGCGTGATGTCAATCAGCGGTTTCCTCAGTGTAGGTCTAATCTATCGCCACTTTGTTCCACACATTCTTGGGCGATATGTTTTTGACTTGTTCGCTTCCTATCAGTTTACTTTTGTTTATCCTTCCTGACTATTCGATTTTCAGAAATTAGCGAAGGTAGCGTAATCTCATATTAAGTAAGTTTATTTGAAAAAATACAGTGATAAAGTGGTGAGAAATGAGTGACGTTCAGGATAATTTAACGGGCATAATCATATCTATGCATTCACACGATTTCCTAACTTATTTCTTATACCATTGTTCTCCCCTGCAATTGTAATTTTCCACATATCCAGGACTGGTGTGTCGTCATTTCAATTGCACGTCTTTGGTGTTGATTAAATGAACAGAGATTTAGCATTGTTCTAGAATAACGCATCATCTATCCCTGATATATGGAAACTCGCGATAAAACAGGGGAAATTAAGGCTATAAAAAGCTAGTTATGAAGATGTGAGAATAAACTAATGTAATTATGACCGATAAGTTGTGGTCGGATCGTCATCCAGTCATGAATACTGTATCACTGTGTGTTATATAAAATAAAATTAAATGTAACGAATTAATCCTACACGCACGCATACAGCGTTTGAATCAAACATCAGATATTATGCTACCTAACCAGATTTAGTTAGTCCTTAGAAATCACCAGAGGTCAGCTTGTGATTTCCATTTTCAGTTACTGCTTAAAAACTACAGTTAGACAGAGAGTAAATAAGTTTTTATAAGTATTCAAAAATATTGTGCACATGAACAAACTCCATAGGACATTTCAATCTAAATGTCCTAAAACTGCTTAAATTTTGACTTGAGTAAGCATCAGATCGCACTACCTGATGTTGAACTACGTAGACCAGTTTTGAAGCAACCTTCTCTTTGGAAACAATTCTCCGTTTAACATACTTGGTGAACATATGTAGTGGGCTCTAAATTTTGTAATTACATCCACCAAATGGCTACTGTATGCTCGAAATTAATTACACGTCTGAGAGAGCACCCAAATCTCTAAAAGTCTGATGAAGATTAACATTTCTTCAGTCTACCAACTAAATCATAACAACACTAAATACCGACGACTGACATCACCACAGGTCTGCATACAACCGATTCACAATACAATGCCTCTAAAAAAATGTTGACAACACAAGACAGGTTTCAGATAACTATTAGAAAGCATTCTAAGTCTACAACAGCTGCATAGTAGGAGCGAAAGTCAATAACAACCCAAATAAATTATACAGAACACTGTGTATAGGCGTTTCATGCCAGTAGACTAAGCCGAGTTGAGACGAAAGGATCAAACGAAACAAACTCTATCTGGCTAGCAGATGCATGTGGAATCCTAAGATTATTTCAACAGCTTCACATAAAGATAACACCTAGTTTGAACAACACACTGAAAACTTGTCTAAGTCTTCTTTAGCATTCAAATTACAAATGCTGATAGCAAATTTTTCACCCCGTCACCAAGTTTTGTGCATACTGAGCGAACGCATGTCTAACATTGGCATGTGCTATCAGCACTTTTAATGATTTGTCCCAAACATTTCTGCATTTTTAATGTGAAATAGGATGTAAGCCCACAACCGCTGAGGGATTTAACGCAGTTCAGCAGATCGTTCTACGTTCAATCACGATACCCGATTTCCGAAGGAATAAGCTATTTCCTCTACAGTGTCAGCGAATGAATGTTTAACCTAACCGTGTCTCATAAACGTTTTGCCTAAGCAGTCTAGTTAAAGTTAGGGAAGATGGTAATGTCCAGAGTTTTAGGAATTCATAAATTTTTCTTCATCTCATAAATTGTTCTCTAACTCGTACGAAGTATAACAAGTCACCTAGCCCCTTAGAGACCCTAAGATACTCTAGACATCCACAAAGTATGACCTCCGAATAAAACCACCAAGGATGACACTAACGGTAGGCTTGGTTAGGTATATGATATCTTCAGAAGAAGCGTACATGACCTCATTAAAAAACAAAATCCGAGCGGTTAACCACTCGGATTTTGTTGTACAGACATTTTAAGTAGTGCGTTTGATAGCACGATCACATTTTTCAATGGACCTTGCGAAACAAGTGAATTTTTCGGCACATCTGTTGTAATCACCGCTGTAGTTTCGCAAAGTGCATTTAGTCACGTAAACTACAGTATGAGAGTTGCAACCCTCATTTGCAGTAAATGGATGCTAATTCAACGTGGAGATCGAGTATAATTAGAAGTCAAGAGTAATAAATTGAGGCTTTGAGGACACCTAAAATGTATTCTACATCTTAATTGTTCAGAATGAACCCGATGTTGCCAAGATGATGTTAAAATAAGTGTTGTACTAATAGACGCAACTAATGATAAGTTTTTGTTTTTCCAGTGCAAATTCGTCGTTAAGTAGACAAAACAAACACCAAGCAAAGCATAACCAACCATCTCAAAAATGAGTATGATTGTCAAAGAAATACTCTTACGCCATATCAAACCATCAAATTCAATCGGTCGGATTTCCTGGTTTGACCTTGACGGTTGAAAAACCAATAGAGATACAAATTCCAAATGTAAAGCAAATGACTGTGAAAAACAATGTCCAATATCTGCCACAGTCATTAGAATTGTATCCTCATCCTTTCCTAATAAAAGCAAAGACTTTTATGTCGCCAATTTACTCGATTTTTAAAGTTTACATCCCATAGAAGTCGTATTCACCACGCAAACAGCTGTTTGGTCTTCCTCGACTTCTGAACGTGGATATTTTGACGGCGATTTGTGTTATTTCACGAAAACACTGCCGCGCTTGGATTTCATGATAAGAGCTCCTTATCATTTCACTGTTTCTTACTGTTTGAGTAAGATTTTCTGGTGCGAACGATGCGAGACAGAAGTTCGCACATTACCTCTTCTAGATTGTCATTTGTGAATTGTAAAAAAAAAAATATAAGTGCACTAAAACCATAAATGCCCCTTCATTCCGCCAAAGCCGTCCTCATAATCGCTTGTTAACACATCAGTGACCAGTCGATGCGGGTACCAAATACTTTGCATTTAGAAATTAAACGGAGATGCAATCACACAGTAACAAACAAGTGGTACCAGCTTAAGGGAAAACTCTATTAGGTGATGAATGAGATATTGTATTCTGTTCTGCACACAAGTGATATCTACCACCTGACTGACAGACGCTAATTAACTATGACTATTTTGTTATGCTTTTAAACAAAGTGTATCTACTCTACAAATAGCAGCTCTTTCATATTCAAGTGATTTGCGAACTTAAGAAAAATTTCCCGAGAATGAATGCAAGTCCTGAAATTTTTAAAACGGCATGTCTTCCTATGTTAGCTCAATCAATTACTCTCTGTCTTGATTTCCTTCTATTCTTCCGCCTAATACACAACCCATAAATGAATTTAATAGGCACCATGTAAACTTTCAAACTGGATACTTGTTTTCTGTTTCAGTTGAGTTCACATCTCTTATCCTTTCATTCTAAATCACACAGACAAGCTTGGTTTGACTGCAAATTTAGGAAAGGTTCTCTAGAAGCCGATGAATGGTTCCGAGAAGAAAACGAACAAGGGAATCTATACAAACGACAAACTGAGAGGGCCAACATCTAAGTTAAATATATGAAATAATAATGTGGCTAGTTGAACAACATTTATCATATCAAAAGTCAAATCACATACAGAATGGATCGAAATTTATTACAAATATTTTCATGGTGCGTCATTCTGGAAGGTGACGATCCCTGACGCCTTCGTCCTTAACTCTCCGTTTCTGTGTTTTATTGAAATGTCGGTGAACAGTATAAATGTACCGCGTGCAATTGACAGGAATTGACAGTAGTATACAGATGTAGGCTGAGTGGAACGAGCCAAAACGGAAGACTACATTTTAAGTCAGTGACGAAATTATTAGAAGAGTCTACTCTTCGAACCTGGATCTAATTTACTTACTCATTAGAAAATAATCTCAGGATCTAACCTTCAGATTATCAACGACAGTTTACTATCCTAAATCGTAAGTATGGCTAAAAATGTATAAGTATGGCGTGATTTCCCCCCAAAAATAATCCGTTACCAAGTCTTTTACCTTCTCCCATTTCCTCTTAGAATGAGGAGGGGAGTACTCTTAACAGTTAGGGTTTTTTCAGTCAGCGGTCTTATCTCACCGTTTCCTACTTAATGTACCAGCGGGGTATCATTCCTTTCGCCCATCTTCGCTTTTGTAATGTCGACATGCGATCCGAAATTTTCAGTCCGTCCTATCACGGTTTCGATATGGTTTACACTATCGCTTTAATTTCCAGTGTAGCTGACGAGATCGTCACCTTATTATTATTATTTTTACACCTCCACCTTCTTCAAGTTTTTAAGTAAGGTGTGGTGTGTGAAGGGTGCTGTTATTACCCCTGTAGCCACTTTGGGTGAACTCGTTGTCAATTTGTTATTCACCTATTGCCAAATTTATAAGATCCCATCGAAAACTGATACGATCAAGTTGACTTATGTACGGGTATAATAATATTGGCTCAATGAACAACCTGACTAAAATGCTAAATCAGCCGGTTCGTCCGTGGTACTCTCCAACTCATTTAGTGCCGTAAATATCAAAGGGCAAAGACTGGCCTGTGACTGGTTGGGTGCTATTTTATCAGGAAAAAGCACTTCATGCTTAAATATTTTTTAACCACATTAAAATCTACCTATGGTGGTGGAAATAGATCTTTCCGACTGGTAAGTGATTCAGCTACGTCTGAGAACAATCATATTTGTGTACCTGAGTTGACATAACTAAAACCATTTTCCAGTTCAACATGATTATTTTCAATCTCATATAAACTTTCAGAGGTGTGAATATCGAATACAAGTAGCATATAAACAAAATTAAAAAGGATTGGACTGAATGGCCTGTGTACCCGACTTCAGAAAGGCAGATAAGTTGATATTTCAATTTTGGGATGGTCACATGCCGGAGTTCTTCCTTCACACTGCTTAGAAGCAGAGGGCAGCTACAGAACATTACCCTTAGAGTTGTTGCATGAAAAGTCGCCCATAAACAGTATTTCCTCTGGTACTAAACTTCATTCTCCTTTAGAGTTTGGTTCCATGTTCTTCTCAAAGAAACGTGCCAAGTGACCAACTTGGGCCGGGATGATTTTGCAAAGTAAGAGCTGTTCTTCTGAGGGATCAGTGGAGAAAATTCTTCCCATACGGTGAGCAGGTGAAGTGATGAGTACTCCTTTGCAGCTCACAGGCATCCAACTATGGAAACGTGCTACCTGGAGATTCCACATCGGTTTTCTGTGGACATATCTTTTCAGAGTCCTACAATCTCTTCTTGTAAATTCTATATTAAGAAATGGAATTTTTGGTTCTTTTTCCATTTTCATTGTGGATTTCTTTGAAGGTCGGAAATTTTAAATCCTTGTAAGATACAATTGAAATCAGGGTTATCATACTTCTTGTGAAGCAGTAATTTGTCGAATGATAGCTTTAAAATCCCGTTCTCCAAACTGACCATGAAGCAGTCTGCCAAAATTCAGTCATTTGAAGATCCCACCGCAGTTCCATCTTTCTGTCTGTATATAAATCGTCGTTGAAGAATAATTGTACACTGACCGCGGATATCAATAATGACACTTCGTAAAAGCTACAAAATGAGCGAAGGAATTTATTCTTTTTTTAATTAGTTCCTGGTCATCCGTTGTATACTGTAATGTAGTTTTCCACATTGAAGTTACTCCAACATGTGGTCATTTCACTTAATAAGAATCATCAAATTTAAGCATAGAGGTGAAAATAAGAGATTAAAACCATTAAAACAATCAACTAGTTGGTTTATTTGTGTAATTACGGTACAAAAATTACTTGTTAATGAAGAGCAAACGATGAGGAATTAATTGAAAAGCAATAAATAATTTGTCTCCCAATTATTTATTTTTTCCAAATGTGCAAATCGGATTTTTCAGATTACTATTCTTTCAAATACGAGGTTGGCTTCCCAATGCTCAGAGTCATGTCGTCCACATATTTGCACGGGATACGTTGTTGGTAAATTCTACTTCCAGTGATAACATACGTTTTCCAGTTACATTCAAATCCTTTATACAAACAACAGCATAATAGGGGTGCAGTAATCTGAGAATATGTAATCAATCATTGGACCGAAATCAGATGGTCGAATAAGATTTATTTTCAAAGTAGCAGAAGTAATAATGGTAGACATCTAGATACTGTTGCTTCTAAGAAGGTAGTGAGATTAAGTGAGCACCAAGCTGAATACATTCCAGGGGCATGCCTTAATAAGTCACAAATGACTTTCTGAATGAGAATAAAGAAGGTAGATATTTGACCACTTAGAATGACAAATCATCTGCAAACATTACGGGTCCCATATCCTACAAGTGCCTCGTGAATTGCCCATTACCTTCCTCTGCGACGAATCCTGAATGACATTTGTGGAATACTGACTTTATACCAACAAAAAATCCCATTCAATACCTGGTCGACGCCAATAAATCTGAATATTTAAAGAATAATGAACGCATGCTGTTGGCTGCATTTGAAATCTCACTCACTAGTGTGGTGACGATTTCCAGCTCCTACATGCTCCAGTTGTCATTTTATATGAATAAGTTCACCGTTATTCTGGTTCCTGGCGGCATGTGGACTGAAAATTACCTATTGCTGAAACAATACCTCTTTGTATGTTTAACTGGGCACTTACTGCTGTGGTGAGTCACTGGCAGTTAGTGTCGCTAAGACATTAATAACGGTGAACTAATGTTTTACAAAGCAATTTTATCACTCCATGGACAACCTACTACAACTATCTCCAGTAATGCAACCATCAAATATGATACGCATTTCGATTAAATTTCTTCAATAGAGATGCTCTGTGTTATACTGTGCACATCGCTTCCACTTGTGTAAAGTAACATTATAGGTATGATTCCACAACCTTTTCTATGTGTATACTATGTAAGCGAATAATTGTAAATATGCTTACTCCTAGTATATGTTATTTATCATATCGATGATGCCTGTAAACTGACATCCTGAAAATAAGCATCCTGCTCGTTAGGCTCTGTACAGTGTGCAAGAGTGGCCAAACACTACAAGGCAAACCACTTATATTGAGAGCAAAACTAAGTTCCACTGAAGAAGTCGAGATAAAATATTCTCGCATCAAGTCCAAGTTATAGGGTGATGGGGAAAATGTCGAAGCGGTCACTGGGACCAGTGCTCTCTAAAATCATGATCCTTCCGGAACTGGAAATTATAGATTCAAGTGAGAAACACGCACAAGAAACGACTCACCCCTCAGATGGCGCTTAGTGGTTTGAAGGCAACTTTTATATTCAGATCATCTTGCTATATTTATTCAACATTTTTAGGGTAACCGCAGTCGCCAGCAGTTGAATTCAGCCCCTGAGAGTAGTGGTACTCCGTCATTTGGTAAAACACAGAAGAT